AAAATTTTATATAGAAATTAAGACTGAGAGATCATTTTGTAAAAATATTAAAAATTTTGCAGATTTTTAGAAATTATTCAACATTTTCTAAACCCAATAAAGGGCTTTTAACCTAAAATCTATAATATTTATATAGTTTATAATTCCTATAAAAAAAATTTCTTTTAAAGTTGTATATTTTTAAAGCAAAATGTTCACCTAATTAAATAAATATAACATTTCTTAGTCTAACATAAACATCTTTTTTTCTTTTCTGCAAACAAAAATCTTTATTGTATTAGTCAATTGTTTCTAAAACTGACGTCATCTTTAATTTAAATTGAATAGTTATTTTGAATAATAGCCTGAAAAATAAAACTATTTTTGGCTTAGAGAAAAAAAAACATACAAAAATAACAAAAAACCCGTTTTCCTAACAACCGTAAAAGGTACCAAACAAATTGAATTTGAATATTAAATAGCAAAAAACTAATATACATAAATAACTTTAAGTTTAAGCTACAATGGCACGTTAGGTTAAAGGTATTTTTATTACCAACAAAAAAAAAAAAAAACAAATTTAAAGGAATCGATAATTATAAAATAGGCTAACAGCCTAGCTTGTTAAATTACTATAAAAAGCAAGGTTTTTAATAAAGTAAAAAAAACTATTTTTAGCTATTGACTTGCTAAAATTAACACCTCCTACTTAAACATAAAGATTTTTCTTTTTATTTCACACTACAAATTAACTGGCATTTCATACATGACTTAACATTGGATGCACCGACAAATATAATACACATTAACAACATCATCATCTATTCCTAGATGCCCTCACTGTTGTAAATGACCAAGAACGATAGTTGTTGTTTGTATAAGTGTGACTCAGAGTCTGTTTGGTTAGAATCTTTGTATTTAGAAAACTTGTATAAAACTTCATAATAACACTTGATTGCATCCACTTTGCTATGGCTATACTAGTTAAGCTCTCTTGGTCTATTGTTTTGCCATTTTTTCGCCTAAGTTTAAAAGTCAATTGTTTAGTTTGAAAATAAAATAAAGTGGAAAAAAATCATTGAAAATTAATGAATGAATAAATGCATGATGTTATTGTTTGAGAGAGCAGACATCATCATCATCATCGACATCGTCAATATTATAACAATTAGGGTGTTTTTTTTATTGCTATTTTATTTTTGTCTAGGGGAAGTGGGTGTGTGTGTCTAGGCACCTACACATTTATAATAAAAAAAAAGATTTTAAAATAAAATTAAAAAACACCTGTAAACAAATTGTTTTTTTGTTCAGTAAAGCATATCATATGCATTTTAGTGCTGAAAGAAATCAAGATTTTGTTCAAGTTTCAAAACTTTTTAAGCTCTAATTACGAATAATTAAAATTGTCCCTGACACTTGTTTATGGTTAAAAATTATATAAAAATCAGTGGAAGAACTTTTTTCAACTTTTCATTGTGATTTTTGGAAGAAAATATTCCACAATCTAGTTTTATTAAATATCATGAGACATTTTTTTAACTTTTGAAATAAGTTTTTGAATATTTAAATCTTAATAGTGTGTGAAATCCGTATTGAAAGTCAAGTCAGTTGTGAAAATATTTCAGATTTTATACAGTACCTCATTTATTTCAATTTTTTCAAAAAAAGGAAATCTAGATATTCTTTTTATCAGAAGAAACTCATGTAATTCTGAAAAGCTAAAAAAATTGGATTTCATAACAAATTTCGAAAAATTGTGTAATTACTTTCAAAATTCCCACTCCATCTACATTAACACTAATTCCTAACATCTGGCAACCTTATGTTTACATTATGTTTGTCATATATTTTTTGTTGTAAATAACCAAAATATAACGGTTTCTTGCACGATCATTGATATGGTAAGATATGGTAACACCTTACACATTTTTTTAATAAACAAAAATACAAAAACAATAAATTTGGCACACAAGAAAAAAATCGCACATATCTTTTAAACAAAAAGACACAAAATTTCGAGAAAGTTCTTAAGATTGCTGCACAAAACTAATAAAAAAAAAACAAAAAAAAATTTAAGACACTTTTAGCTGAACTTTTTTGTGGCTAATAAACTTTCTTGTTTCTTTTTAACATGTTTGGAATGTTTTTTTTTTAATAAAATTTGTATGATTTTTTTCTTGTTTTTTTAACTTAACCCTGCCACCCACTTTTTGCTTTGCATCCCTTTACCTATTGGTAAAACATTTAACACTTTAAATTTTTTTGTCATGTTCGTTTGGAACTGTGAACTCTTCGTGGTCGTTACCGCTAAACCACCTTGATTTCTTTCCTTTTTTTTCTTTGCTATACCTATGAGTGTTCTGCTTCTTTGACTAGAAACATAACTCACCGCTTGGAATTTATTGCTTTTTGTGGTTTGGTTTCCTCCTATATTGACTCTCGGTATCCTTTTATAGGCAAATTTATTAAAAAAAAATCAATTTTTCCTTAATTTTTCACACATAAACTTTTCAAAAATTCAATTGTTTGATATAAATTTCAAAGAAAACTTGTTAATTTTTTTCTTTTAATACAACAAAAGCCACAAAGTAAACTTTTCTTTCCAGAAAAAAAGGAAGGCCAGAAATGTTAACAAATATTGTAGTTGTTTTTAATATTTTACTTGTTCAGTTAATTCTTTGGCGCTTAATATTTGTTATATTACCGCAAACGTTTTATTGTAATAAAATAATTTAGTTTTTTTGTAATATGTTTTTACGAACTTTTTTTGCGTGTTGCTTGCACGGTGTTTTTAATATGAATATTTTTTAGTAGTAATTGTGTGTTTTCTTCACATACCGGGAGTTGATTGGATAAATTCAGGCGGCTTCTATCAGGCGACTTCTAGCAATTTTCAATGTATTTTTAAAAGTTGCCAGACATAAATAACACAAATTCTGTTTATATTTAATGAAAATATCTATAAAAATGTTTAAAATGTATGTTGTTTTAAAGAATTATTAATTAATTTGAATATATTATTTTAAAATAAATCATATAATTTGTTTTTTATTTAATGTTTTAAAGGTTTTTTGAGTTTTTTTGCTTAAAAATGTTAAAATCCCAGTTTTCGTTACGTTTTTAATCTGGCATATTTATTTTCTGCGTTTTGACAGTTGTTAAATGGTTGTCAGTGGCTATTGTGATTTTGTTAGGTTGTGGTCTTTGCTATGTATATAATTATTGTTATTTGTTTTATGGTTGTAGTTTTTCAGTGACTTAGCTTGCAATACCATTTGCTTAATTTAAAAGTTGTTAATACTGCTTTTATAAAGCAGTTGGCAATATTATTTTCCACTAACAGCAGCATACTTTTAGGATTAAATTTAAAAAGCACAGCATATCACCAATCGAACCAAAGTCCATATTAATTATTGTATTTCGTCACCCGCGGTGACACTTTCATTCATCCAACTAATCTTTTAGTTACTTTACTACTCCCAAAAACCACTCTTCTCTCCTTTTACAACCAACATCAGCATTTTTTCATAGATAACACATTCGTCCTATTTGATCGGAAAAAGAATATGGGAATTATAAAAAAAAACTTTGTCTTCATTAACTGTTATCGGAGATTTATCATTACTAATTGCGCAAATTCAATGATGCCCATTATATGCATTTTCTTTCATTCTTGCGTTTTTGTATTAATGTCAATATCGAGATTTTCTTTTCTTTTATATCCAAAAATCTATTTTTTTAGGGGAAAATTATCTCGTGAGAATCTTTTTTCAGGCGACTTTTATTTGAATTTGTTTAAGTTTGCAACTGTTTTAAAATACACTTTTAATGAACGCGGCAAAGACTATTTTTGAACTTTGTATAATACCAAGGAAAGGCACTGAAAGGAAATTTTTATCAAATATACAATCTGTCTTCCTATTAAAAATATTTAATAAATCTTTGTTTAGCTAAATTTAAATAAAATTAAATTTAAAATATTTTACTTTTAAAATAACAAGTTCATTCATATACACCACAGTTTGTTTTGGTTTTTTTCCTAACAGTCAAAAATAATCGATTAACATTTGAAAATGTTTCTTTATTTTTTTCGTTTTTAAAAAGTAATCAGATTATCAATTTTCTACTGAAAAATTCAAGTTAAACAAGAGGGGGATATAATTCCATAAAAAAACAACAAAAACAACTTCATACATAAATAAAGAGAACATGAGAATTACAAACACAAAGCAAACGACAAAAATATATAAAAAGACAATAAAAAAAAAACAAGAAAATAAAGAAAAAAATTAAATAACACATAACAACACTGTGTGTGGGGAAAATACATGGTCACAGTAGGGTTGCCATGAGTTGGCAAAAAATAGTATATAAAGGTATTATTAAAAAATAACAGGAAATTTAAAGATTTTAATAAAAATAATTTTTAAAATGTAAGAAATCTTTAAATAAATTAAGAAAAAAAAAATTTTGTTAAAAGTAAAATAAAGTCGATATTAAATATTTTTTATAAAAATAGTCAATATTTGAAAAAATGTAATAAGTAAAAATAACTTAAAACACAACAAAATCAGAAAATAAATGAAATTTACTAAAAAATATTCAAATTTAATTAAAAAAAACTAAAATATTAATAAAATTTTATTAAAACAAACACAGAAACGTTTTTTTTTTTTTGTACTAACATTCAAATTATTATAAAATCTTATATTTTTAAGAAATAACTACAATAAATGAATTATTCAATTACGCCAAGTCTAATTTTTCCATTAAAATTAATTTTATACTAAAAAAACTTCAATTCCTTTACAAAAATTCCTACATAACCTAAACAATCCCTTAATTTCTTCACAATAAACAAAAACAATATAGAGGCAACCATGAGTCATGGTGATTAACTGCTTTTACACACATATAAACACACACACTTTCAACAAACAACACCTCTTTTTGTCTCTGTCTCTCTTTGCTTTTTTCTGTACGGTGTGGTCAAATTTATACTGACAGCTCTTTGGCAGATACAGAGTTGCAGTCAAGGCGCGTAGACAGCTAGAAAACTTAGTTCACCGTTTAATAAGTGTCGTTTTCACTGGAAATTTTTATATAAAAATATATAATAATTTACAAAAGAAGAAAATAAACTAAATTAAAAAAATGCAAATAATAAAAGAAAATTAAACTTTAAAAAATGTCATTAAAACAAGTGTTATATTAAAATAACAAGAAAAAAACATTGAAATTTTACCCAAAAAAAAAACTAAAAGGAAATTAACAAATAAAAAAGAGGTCGTTTTGTGGCTGTTGAAAAAATAATAGAAAAAAAAAACAAATACATAAGCAAACAAGAATGAGTAAATGTTGAAAATAGAAAAAGAAGCAGCAGAAATAACAAAAAATCATAGAAACGTAAGAGGCAATACCAAGAAGATTAAATACAAAGCAAAACAGTAAAATATAAAAAAAACAAGAGCACATATATATTAGCTCTTTCTCACTTAACTCACACATATTAGAATGTGTGAGTGTGATAGCTGTCATTACCTAAATGCACATAAAATTATAACAACAACAATAACTGCAATAAGAAGCAGCAAAAGTAAAATAACAACGAAAAGGGAAGAGTGCAAATGTCAAGTAAATTTTTACCAACAAAATAACAACAGCACAACAACAAACAGTTATAATAATAAAAACAACTGCATTAGCAGCAAAAAGAAAATAAATTTCATAAATTTTAAACAAAATGCATACCGAAACAACAAATTCTACACTAATATTAAACAATATGCAACAGCAACATTATTTAAGCCATCTGGAGCAGGATCAACTTATGCCAGAACCTGCACAACAGCAACAACAACATAACTTTACACACTTGCCCTCCTCAACAAATAACCCTAACACATCCTTGAATGCAGAAGGACTTTATGCAGCAACAACACAACAACAGCAGCAGCATCAACAACACTTGACGTCAGCATGTCCCTCACAGTTTTACACTAATGGAACGACAACAAGGCTAACACATCCTGCCACAAACTCTACAACAACATCTGCCTTTTCCTCCTTATCATCCAGTTCAAGCTCTTCCTCCTCCTCCAATGACAGTAGTTATAACTGTCCCAATTCCCCTACGGCTGACCTTAACTGTAAGAATAACAACAAAAATAATGCCTCCATAGGCGTTAACCTAAGAGTAACAGGCCAGTGTAGCCAAGGAGGTCGTAAATATATGGAAGATTACTTTTCAGTGGCCTATCAACAGTCAGAGAATGCCAAAGATTTGGAATATGCTTTTATTGGTATATACGATGGTCACGGTGGTGCAGAGGCGGCCAAATTTGCTAAAGAACATTTAATGATGGAGATTATTAATCAGCGACTATTTTGGTCGGATAATGATCATGATGTTTTAAGGGCCATACGTGAGGGTTATATAGCTACACATTATGCTATGTGGAGGGAACAAGGTGAGTGTTTTCTCTTAGATTTTTATATTCTTTTTTTTGTAGGTATAGTAAATCAAGACTTAAAATAGTTAAGGTTTTGACAAAATGTCTGCAAATAGTTATTTAATCTTATAAGATCTTTTGTAATCTAAAAAATGCCAACTTTCAGTCTTAGCAGTCTTGTTGGACACTCTACTATTTACCCTATTTGCACAGGTTCATCCTGAACTAAAAGTCTTTCGAAACACTGTATTATCTAAAATATGTATTTGTTCCTAAGATAGATTTTTTCTTATTCTACCTTATTGTTCAGTTATATTTCTCAGGAATTTTTACGTGTTTCAATCAATAGTTCCTTAATGTGTCTTGCCAGCTCAATGTCCTCATTATTGCTACATCCTAGTACTTAATAGCAGAGTTTTCCTGTTAATCATATAGCAAGTTTAGAAAAATTTCCCAATACTATTTCCGACGAAATCTCTTCCACTCAATCACAAATGAATTATCTTTCTATAGTATAGCGACGTTAATCATTACAAGGTTTCCATAATATTCCACGTAAAGGGTCTTCATTGGTAAATCTGAGAGACAACCTATGCATTCTTGTAATCTGATAGAAAACTCTTCCATCCGTGAATCAATTCCTACTAAACTCAATTTGTTTACACTTCAAACCGAACTGCTAAGTGCCAAGTGAGAGGGGCTAATATTAACAATTATGGAGCTTCATTTAACCGAAAATTGATTCTTCATTCCGAATCGAATCTGAATCACAACAAATCACTCTTATAATCTGAACTCTTCCGCACTTCCATCAATTTCCACTAAAATCAATTTTCTTACACTTTAAACTAAGCAGAGCACTACAAAGCCTAGAGACCAAGAGGGCGCTCTAAATATTCACATTAAGGAGGCTTTATTTCCACAAAAATTGATTTTTTGTTTCGAAACTAACTGAATCACACTGTTTTAAAGATTATTAATGGACTCGACGAATCCACGACAATTGGATCTTACGAATCACTCTCTCGATTGTTAATACAGTAGCAGTCCAATTCAACTGCTTACGCTTGCTTCGGAAAAGGATTTAAGGTCACAGTGGAAGTCTTACAAAAACAACAACTACAGGGGGTCCTAGTACATGATCTTAAGTTGTTGCTTTATTCAACAATTTTCTTAAACGAAATGATCGAATCAGACTCGTACTAATATTATTAATGGAGGGATAGTGACAATTTGATATTTGCTTCGGAACCTTGCAAATCACACACAACTCAACTAAAAGACTTTTGTTTCAGTATTAAGTATTAAGGGCAACAGTGGGAGTCTTACAAAGAGAGATACTTCCACTCAACCGTATCCACGACAATGGGAATTTCACTCGTACAAATCCACTCAACCGAATCCATAACAATTGGATCTTTGCTCCGGAATGTTTGGTATTACACTCCTTTAAAGATTGTTTATAAAGTGACAGTTCGGTTTAAATGAAAGAGAGGGATTTGGGACATCACTGGAAGTCGTACAAAGACAACAGCCGTAGGCGGTCCTAGGACATCAATCACAAGCGTTTAAACATAATTAATAGAAAGAGAGTTTCATTTACGACAATTGCATCATTGCTCCATGGAAGTCTTTCAAAAACAACTACACTAGAAGGAGTACCAGTACATCTCAAGATGACTACAAGGAGTACCAGTACATCTTAAGAATTTGAATTGAACCTTTGTTCCATTGAAGTCTTTCAAAAATAACTACACTACACTACACAAGATGACTACAAGGAGTACCAGTACATCTCAAGAAACATTGTGGGGGAAAGAAATTAAGTTTTTGTAAATCGCTGTAATACCTATTTTGCGACAGTGTCTCTTTAAACTAGAGTTTAATTTTAAACTCGTTTAAATGCATTAGAGGTTTTTAGTTTTCAACTTCGTTAAGGTTACTGGTTTAAGGTCAATTTAAAACCAGTTAAATTGTGCTCTTTTAACCAAATAACCGTTAAATGCAGTTATATAATTTCAATTGATTTAATCTACAATTTTAATTTTGTTACACAAACTCAACAACTGCACTTTATTTCAGCCCAGACATCATCCATTTGCAGTAGTGACATTCTCATATACATAACAACTTTGCATTCTTTTGCTCTCTCTCCCTCTCTTTTTCGCTTTACACCTCTTTTTTTTTTTTGACCGTTAAATTAGCAGCCAGAATCAATTTTCAACAATTACAGTTTCCTTTATTTGTGCATTCAACACATCTTACACAAAAATCATCATAGACCACAACCTTTTTTCATTTCTTTTCAACTGTAATCAACAGACAGAAATCATTTTTAATACCCCGCCAAATTAAATTTGTCATGTTTTTTCTTGCTTTATCAATTTTAAAAACCCAGTCAGTCAGTCATTATTATATTTAGTAGAAAATTTCTGTTTATACGATTTAGTTCATGCTGATACATGCTTAAAAACACACACAGAGAAATAATATCGTCATACATTTTGTTTTTAATACCCCAAGTTGTTTTTTTTTACTTATTTTTCAAAATTTTTTTCCATTATTTCTCATATCTCTTGCCTGTGTTTGCTATAGCAACCAACGTAGCCGTCCCAGCAACTTATAAAATAATCAAATTTCACCACCATCATACAAATGTAAAACTTGCATCTGGTTTATTTTATTTTTTTTTCTTTCTATATTTTATTTGTACTACCACCACCACCACCACTTCTACTTTGTTCGTTTCTCTATTCACAAATTTGTGTTGATTTTCTACTTTAGCTCTTTTTTTAGTATTGTCTAGAAAATGTTGAAATTGTACACAACAGAGCTCGCTGTAGCTGTTGTATATTTTATATACACAATTTTCTATATTATGCATGGGCTTGGTTAAATTAACATGTACCCATTTCTATGGTATTTATGAAAAAGTTTTTATACACTTCGTTGCGGAAAAAGGTATTAATGGACGAAAGAAATCGATTTTATTTATATGGGGAAATGTAAACAAATATTTTGACGTTCGATTTAAGGAATTTTTTTTTTATTAAAAGAGTGGAAGTAGTTCAGGATCATAGGTATTTTAACTTTCGATGTTCACAATGATACTATCCTTATACATTCAATAGTCTTGTAGTCGTCATGTTTAAACTGAAACCCTTGACATTCTATCTGCTCGAAATCTCTAAAACTATGTGATGTAGTGAAGGGTTCCACCAAAATTTAACACATTTCCACGGGGAGCTCTCAATATGGGAAAGTTGCTAGTGTTCGCAATAATCTTACTTGTGTCTTAAACACAGTATGACTTGCACGGTCTCCTTGTTACCTTTGGCGAGTCGTTTCCCAATATATGATTTCAAGTATTTAATCGAATCATTAAGAAAATGTATTTAGCTGAACTGTAGCTAAACTATTCCCGGCTTTTAATTTGAAGTTTTCAAGATCATTATAAATCATTCATCCTTCCTCCCTTATATTACAGATCCGATGCATGATCTACATATATTTGAGGAGTTTAGCTTATTTATGGATTTCTTTAAACATGAAGTCCAAGATAATCGAATTTCTATCATATAGTAATTTGTTAAACAGAACATAATTGTCAAAAATATCCAAAGTCAGGGCTAATTTCCACCACATTTTGCATCTCAACTCCGGAATGATAGGATTCATAGTCCTTCAAAGATTGCTAACTCAGTGATAGATCATCAACTTAAACGAAAGAGGCAACTAGCGGAGGGAACTAGTAACCTCAACAGGGACTTATTTTCTATGTCGTTCCCACGACAATCGGTTCTTTGCTCCGTAACTACTCGGACCAATGATTGTCAATTCAGCTACTGCGACTTTAAATGTGACGCTGCTGCAACTAGCGGAGGGAACTATTAACCTCAGCAGGGACTTTCGTCCAGGAACTTGCCAAAATATTCTGAAAACTGTGATCGTTCAACTTATCGGTTTTTCCCCGGGAAAGAAATCTGGGTAACTATGAAACTGTTGTAAAAAGTAACAAGCTTGTTCATCATAGTCACCAAAATAGCATACTCCGGGGGACAAGTAAACACAATAGGGACTCATTTGAACGATACTGGGATCTACGCTCTGCTACGACTGCATTCACTTTCAGCTAAAGTTTATTCCTTGAAAGGAATCGTATTTTATCGAGACTAGTAACCATAATAAAGTTGCAATCCTCAACATTGCAATCGCTGCTCCGAAACTATCCAAACATTAGCAATTCAGGGATAGCCTAGTCTTTCTTGCAAAAAGTACTCTATGGAACTGTTACCAATATGTTCTCTACAAATTTATTTAAAAAAATAATTAAAAATTTAAAAATTTTATATAAAACTTAAAAACTACTTTTAGCAGCTGCTTGTTTTCTTGTCGCCAGCTGTTATAAGACCTCTATTTCTTGATATTTGTATACATTTTCTTTTTTTAATTTGCTGTGTGTTTTTTTCAACACAGCAAATAGTCACGTAAATAATAATGTGAGAAATGTGTAAAAAAGAGTAGTAGATTTTAGTATGTATTATAAACTAGAGTTGCCACTCCTCACATATGGAATAGCATTAACAAAATTATTTCAAAACTAAAAAAACAATTAATAAAAATAACATTAATTTTGAACAAACAAAAGACCTTGATTTACAAATATAAAATACAAAAATTAAATACCTATTTTAAAGTGGCAACCCTATATACAGTTATATTGTGAAATTTTTATTTTATATACAGAGAAAAATATCTACAATGGAATATTCCCAAAGTGGCTTACCATACGTTTTTCATTTTTGTTCATACTAAATGTATACTATACTCTGCACTACCTACATTTTTAAATTCAAATACATTTTGTGTATGTTTTTTGTTTCACGTACTGGTTCGTTTGGTTTTTAAATATTTTCTGTATATACAACACACCACCAATACCACCACCATTATTACCCAGTCAGCCAGCCAGCCAGCCATGCCCAAGTATATTTAATTTTCAACCATTGCCAGATGAGAAGAATTATTATCAATTCCTTTTTGTGGATTTATTCGTTGAAATTTATTTCATCGCAACGGTTTTGTACGTTTCTCTTTTCTGTATATTGTTGTTGCTATGTATATATAGTGTTGTAAAAGTTGTTGTTTATAAAGAAAAAAAAAACTACCTAACCTAAGTATGGTGATGGTGGTGGTTTTCATTGTTGTATATAAATATTATTGAGTTTACATAAGCCAGTCACTTTTTTTAGAGCGCTGTCATACTCAAGTATAAATTTTGCTTGTTGTTGTATGTGAACGTTATATCGCTGAACAAATGAACAACAAAAATGATTGTATTATACTGTATATGACTCAGTCATGGTTATACTGAAAATTTTATTTTTTTCTATATAACAGCAAAATATAAAAAAATACCCAGCTTCTTTATTTAACAGGAAATTGTAGAAATTTTAATTTTTTATATTATTGATTTTTCTAGTTTTTTTTTTTAATTTCAAATATATTAAACGTTACTTTTTGTTGTAGAAAAATAATGTTTTACCACTTTGTTTTAAAAATTTGATCGGCTTTAGCTGTTTAACTGTCAATTTTGGTTTGTTAAATTCACCTCAATTTATGTGTTTTGTTTGGTTTTTTGCTTTTTAATAACATCCTCCTCTAATGTCAAGTGTTAAAAACAATAACAACACTGCAAAAGGCAAAAATATTGTCAACCATACACACACTTTCATACCTACATAATCATACTTTTAGTTATTTCTTTCAAAATAAACTTTATTTGTTTTGGTTTGTTTTGATTATCTTAATTTGCCGCTATTAATCTCTCTTCTCAAAAATAAAAAGTAAACAATAACAATTGTTTTGATTAGCCTTGCCATAGTTGACATATTTTGTTTAGGTGTTAATTGTAAAAAAAGTAGTAGGAGTTAAACGGAAATTATTAAATAAAGAAAACTTTAACTTTTAATGAAAATAATTTATAAATAACATAAAATGTAAATAAATTAGCTAAACTATTTATAGTAATAAAATTAATTTTTGGCTAAAAAATCACAAATTTCTTTAAGGCGGAGTATATTCTACACGTTCTTTTGTAATACTATGGTATGTAGCTCTTAGGGACTGATATTACAATAATGAATAGAGGCAAACTAATTTTGATGGCTTTTAGTTGGCATGTGAGGAAAGTGAACAGTTTGTTACATTTTCTTTAGTTTTCATCTATCCGCCAGTGTTTTTGTACAACTTACAACAAAACTAACCATATATTCTTACTGGGGGCACTGCAATAAGGAAGTTAGTGAACAATTTTGTTTAGATTCTAGTGGTCATAATGAGGAAATGTTACAAAATGTTATAGATTACTTTCAAACGTAAACATTATTATTGCTTTTTCAAGAACGGACAACTTTCGTTAGGTTCTATTTGGCATAACAGGAAAGTTCTAAAGCTAACTTTTCCATATTCTAAGTTACATGTAATTGTATAAACTACTTTAAACATAACCTTAACTTTCTACTTAAACTAAAAAACACCATTCTCTTTTGTTTATCTTCCAGACAAATGGCCAAAAACAGCCAATGGTTTACCCAGTACAGCGGGTACCACCGCTACAGTGGCTTTTATAAGAAGAGAAAAGATCTATATAGGACATGTGGGAGATTCCGGCATTGTATTGGGTTATCAAAATGAAAATGAAAACTTTTGGAGAGCCAAACAATTGACAACCGATCATAAACCCGAATCGGTAGAGGAAAGAACCCGTATTATGAATTCAGGTGGTAAAGTGGTGGTAAAATCAGGAGTACCCAGAGTAGTATGGAATCGTCCCAGAAATGGTAAGTTAGAAAAGAAAAAACTGTGAGGATAAAAGATTAATTTAGTTCTTTATCTTTTTTTTTCAAATTTTAGCCAGTCACCGTGGTCCCATACGCAAAAAGACCTTAGTCGATGAAATACCCTTTTTGGCGGTGGCCCGCAGTTTAGGCGATCTTTGGAGTTATAATTCGGAACGCAATGAATTTGTGGTTAGTCCGGATCCAGATGTCAAAGTTATACCCATTAATAGCAAAACATTCCGTTGTTTGATTTTCGGCACTGATGGCCTTTGGAATGTGGTTAGTGCCCAGGAAGCCGTCAATACCGTACGCTATAAAGAGGTTATCAAAGAACGTTTAGCGGCCCAAAGAGGTGACTCACCCCAGGAGGGTAATCAATGCACAAATCCCAGTAAATCATTAGTAGATCAAGCTTTACGCACCTGGTCTATTAAAAAAATGCGTGCTGATAATACCTCGGTGGTGACAGTAATGTTATATCCACCCGGTCAATCAGATCATAATACAAATGCTGAATGCAAAGAGAGTAGTAGCTCATTAACTAATCCCCCAGACTTTGTACAGCCCATTAGCTATGGTTTGGAATACACGCAAGTTCAAGCTGAAGTACCGGCCTATGATGATGCTACCACTTATAAAGAAATGGCTTTAAAATATTTACCTCCCGAGGCTTATCGTAATTTCAACTATTATGCCGATGAGTCAGACACCGAGGGTGAGGATAATGAAGAAAGTGAGGAAGAAGAACAGGAAATTACACCTGGAAGTTTACAAAACCATAATAATTATCAGCAACACCAGCAGCATTTAGTTAACTCTAACAATTGGAATTGGCCGGCTAATAATAGTCAAACAATACAGCCTTTAGTTAGACCCGTAGAGGTAACTGAGGAGGAGGCAGAAGACGAAGAAGAAGAAGAGGAGGAGGAAGAAGATGAAGACGATATGGAAGAGGAGTCTATAGAAGAAGCACATCTACAGGCCCCGGAAAGACCGGTATGCATAGTAAACTATCAAAACTATGTACATATGGAGGCGGAGGAAACCAACAATGCTACCGATTCTTATATAAATACCTTTGCCGAGTCTTACAACTCCATATTGACAGCTTCACAAGAAGATTGTCTAACCACGGCAGTAACTGCCTCATCCTCTTCATCATCCTGTTCCAGCAATAGCAATTCGAATTCAAATTCCAATTGTCAAAGTGTTACACCACCCAATATGCATGATATCTTACAGGAACAGCAGCTATATCAACAACAATGCATGTCCGAGGAAGAGGGTTATTCTTTAACAAAACTAGAGACCAGACGTGAACAGCAATCATGTAAAACTTTGGAGAATAGACTGCATTTAGCAACGGAAACAGCGGCAAATGTGCAAACGTTTAAAATCTTCCATGAGGCAACCGGACAACAAGAAATGGGCTTGTATCAATCTAGTAACGACAGATATTATCCGCAGCAACAGCAGCCACATCAACAACAAGAATTTATATCGCATATAACACAAAAACCTTTGGAATTGCACTCGCTTTTGCAGCAAGAACGTGAAGAGGAACAGCAGGTGGCCTATGAACGTTTACAAATGGAAAGTAAACTACAGCAGCAGCATCAAAATATTAATGCCTACGCTTGCCTACAAACAGTGAACAGTTTAGAACAAACTGTGCAGCCACCATCTGTCGAGGAAGTGGAATATTTGGAGGAAGAAAGTGCTCTAATAGAAGAGTTGCAGGAAGAAGAAATAACATCAACAGATTCCATGGTCCCCGCAGTCGAAGAAATGGTACAAATTAATGAAATTTCCTCTTCATCCTGTGAGGACTCCAGTGCAGAGGAGGAAGTGCAGGAAACAGAAGTTTTAGAAAAAATAGAAATTTTACCCACAAAGCCTTTAGAAGAGGAAAGCGAACCGGAATTAATTATAGCCGAAAGTGAAGTATTATTAATAAACACTAAATATCCCTTAACAAAGATCTCCAAAAACAGTATTTGCCCGCCACCAACAGCAGCGTCCACATCCTTAGTTTTAAACACTCCCCTTAAGACCAACATAAATCTTAGCAAACGCAACAAAACCACTTATCTATATGCCAATGTACCTAATGAAAACAACCTACAAAGAATCTCAAATTCCAAAAATCCACATATGCTTTACGCCAAAAATACACAATCCTCCTCAAAACGACGCCGTAGCATGTGTATGACGCCGGGCGGTAGTAGTATGACACCACCGGCGGCCACTTCAACACCCATGATCCAAAGACAATTGCGCAGCACTTCTAATACACCCTGTTCCTCGAGTACAAATCCCAATCTAATAGATTATGGCAAACGTACCTTGAGAACGCGCAATTCTTTGGCCAAAGAAATGAAAGCTAAAAACACTTTAGTTACCTCAACACTCAAATATCCACACAATGCGGTAACACGCAATTTCCTACGTAACACAGCCGCCAATTTAATGCTACTCAATGAACAACATCTAACACCCTGCAGTCGTAGATCTCTTAGTAACAGCAACAGTGTGCGCTCTAATCCCAGAGCTAGCATCAAAACAAGACGTGATACTACGGGACCGCCACATCCTCAGCTTAATCTAAGATCTAGACAAATAACTGCAACACCCGCCGCCAATACCCCTAACCAGCCCTCATCAAATGTCAGCTCTTTGAGAACTCCTCCCGCTGCTACATCTACACCTGTGATAAAACGTGCCTCTCTAACGGAACGTCGTATTTTACGTAGCATGCATACACGCAGCAGCTCCAGCAAATCTTCACAAACACCTGCCAACTTTAGTAAATCCACTAGAACCCAAAGTACGGGCAGTAATTTGGCAGCTCCGCCACCCTCTCCCAAACTAATAAATGCTGCTGCTGCAGTGGCTGCCGCTACTCGGGCCAGATCTTTGCTAAATGCCAAACATAACGCCGCCAACAATGGTACTCAATCGGTGGTATCGGCTGTTTTTGGCAAGCGTACAAGTTTAAGAAGTAATGTTAGTTCACATCCGGCCGCTTTAAACTCTTCATCCTCCTCCTCCGTCTCACCAGCAGCCACTCATCAAACTTTAAGGGGTCGTATTGTCAAGAAATTGAAACGGTAAAACGTAAAAGTTTTTAGAAATTGGGCTTTAGAAGGTATTTAAAGTATTACTAGGTTAAAAAAGCTTTCAAAATCTAAAAGGAACTTTTTAACAGGACTCGATACAAAACAGAATTTGTATTCTAAACATAAATAGTTTTTAAAAGCTTTAATTCATAATTTGGAACAACAAAATTCCAATTCAAAATAACGGCTTTAAACGGAAAGCTTAACAAAGAAAATCTTAATTTTTATAGCCTAAAAGCTCTCGTTGTATCTAAACCATTGTTTTAGCTAGTTGTTGAAAGCTTTTAACAAACAAATTTCAAAAAAAAGAAAAAGCTCTTGTATGAATTATCTTTAAAAAATAAATTTTTCATAGCTTATCAAAATTGTTAAAGCTTAACTTATAAATTCTTAAAACTTTTAAACAAAAAGCTCTCATTAGACATAATTCTTATGAAACTATAGTTTTATAAGTTTTAAACTGAAAGCTTTTGTCTTATATTGAAAGCTTTTAATACGCAAAAATCACAAAAAGCTCTTGTTTGAATACTATTTATAAGTTTTTAAATGAAAGCTTTTTGCTTGAAACTTATATACTCAACAAAACCAAAATTTTCTTATTAAAAGCTCTGTTTTAGAAAACATACCTTTTAATTTTAAAGCAAAATAATTGTTTTCTAAAGAAAGCTTTTAAACGTAAAAGCTTTTAACACAAAAAATTTTAATTGAATGAAGTTGTAACTGCTTTACTTAAAGAAAAACGTTTTTAAGCTTATTTTTCGTGAAATTTTAAAGCTTTACTAAAAGCTTGGAAAAGATTTTTTTACTAAAAGCTCCTTTTAGAAAACAAACGTTTTTGTGCAGCAATTAAAATTAAAATTTTGAATTTTTAGCCAAAATTGTTGTTTTCTAAAGAAAGCTTTTAAAAGCTTCTTAAACAAAATATTATATTTAGTGCGCTAAAGCTTTTAAATTGAATGTAGTTCAAATAGCTTTGCTTGAAAAAAAGTTTTAAAGCTGAAATATATGTAAAGCTTTATTAAAAGCGGTTTAATTTTTCTTACTAAAAAGCTCTTTTTAGAAAACAAAGGTTTAAACTGCAATTAAAAGGAAAATTTTGAATTTTAAACAAAAAAGAAATTGTTTTCTAACGAAAGCTTTTAAAAGTTTATAATAAAAAGTAATGTAATTCTTTTTAACCTAAAGCTCTTAATTGAAAACAAAAAAAATTGTCTTTATTTAAGCATAAACATTCGTTTTCAATTGAAAGCTTTAAACAGCTTTTTAAAAAATTTCAAATTTCTTAAGCTTTTGGAATATTTTTTGAAAACATTGAAGACCACAGTTTTTATGACAAACATTTTTTAAGTACGAATCAATTTTTAAAAGCTTTCATAGTTTCCTGTGGAAAGCTTTTAAAAACATACATAATTTCTGTTTCAAAAAGCTGTTATTTGAAAGCTTTTAAAAGTTTATTAAATAAATTTAAAAAAGCTTTTTATTGGATATGTTTTAAAATCTTAAATTTTTAACTAAAACACTTGGTTTTAATAAAAGCTTTATATTGCCTAAAAGCTTTTAAGGCTATATATATTTAAAATTATTAAACTCAACGCAGAGCTTTTAAAGCTTTTTATGCTAAAAATAAAAAAAAAATATTTTTGAAAAGTTTTCGTTTTTTAACGAATAAAATAAAGAAATCTATTAAAGCTTTTGAATTCATTTAAAGCTTTTTATAAAATATAAATTTTGAAAACTATGGCACCTAGTAATACTTTAATAACTTTTACACGAGTGTCTAGACCAAACAGTTTTTTTTTTTATCAAAAAAAAATGGGTCAAGAATTTTTTTAGTACAAAATGTCAACAAAAACTAAATTTGTTTTTTTCGGAATAAAATTTTGTTTTTTTTTATAAAATTAAACAAAAATAATTTAAATAACAAACAAAAAATAAATATGTATACAAACTGTATATGAACAAATTATTATTAAAATATTTATAAATAATCTTATAAATTTAATTAAATTTTAATATAATTTCTTTTTTTTTAACAAAACAACTTATTTAATACAACAAAACTATTTGTGTACATTTTTAATTATATTTATCCTACTCTAATAATCAAAATAAATTTATATATTTTAAATAAAAAAATAAAAAAAAAAACATTTTACTTTTTATAATTTTTAAACTTTTTTGTTCTAAAATTATTTTACTTTTAAAAACATGTCTTAAAATGTAATGAATTTCTTTTTGTCATGAATTTTTATCTTTTAGTTTTGTTGTTTTCTTTACAAGTGTAAATAATTTATTTATAAAAAATCTAAGAAAACATTGTTAATTATAAAAGATTTGTATAAGTTTTACATGTTTAAATACTTAATTAACAATTAATTCAATGTGGTTCAAGTGTAGTTTAGTTTTAATATTATTAAATATATTTAATTATTATAATAATTAATAATAAATATTAATATGCTAGAGATTTATTATTATTATTAAAACAGAGATATAAATTATATAACATTTAGTTACTAGAATAACAAATCTATATAAATAAAATACACAAAAAATATACATAATAAATTCTATTTAAAAAAATAAATGGAAATTTATAAAATAAAATAAATTATTTTTTCAAAAATGAAATATAAAAATCAAAATTTATTAAAGTGTTTTTATTTGAAGAGAGTTCCGAAACAACACAGCAATATGTAAGTAAAAAAAAAAAACAAACCCACATAGAATAGATTGTAGCCTAATCTTAAGTTCGTTCTCCACACTATAGACACGTTTGTTGCCCAGTTTAAAGACTTAACCCTTGTCTTGTCTATAGACTAGATCGTTGTCTTGTCTATAGACTAGATCGTTGTCTTGTCTATAGACTAGATCGTTGTCTTGTCTATAGACTAGATCGTTGTCTTGTCTATAGACTAGATCGTTGTCTTGTCTATAGACTAGATCGTTGTCTTGTCTATAGACTAGATCGTTGTCTTGTCTATAGACTAGATCGTTGTCTTGTCTATAGACTAGATCGTTGTCTTGTCTATAGACTAGATCGTTGTCTATTGACCGTTGTCTATTCTATAGACTAGATCGTTGTCTTATAGACTAGACCGTTGTCTATTCTATAGACTAGACCGTTGTCTATTCTATAGACTAGACCGTTGTCTATTCTATAGACTAGACCGTTGTCTATTCTATAGACTAGACCGTTGTCTATTCTATAGACTAGACCGTTGTCTATTCTATAGACTAGACCGTTGTCTATTCTATAGACTAGACCGTTGTCTATTCTATAGACTAGACCGTTGTCTATTCTATAGACTAGACCGTTGTCTATTCTATAGACTAGACCGTTGTCTATTCTATAGACTAGACCGTTGTCTATTCTATAGACTAGACCGTTGTCTATTCTATAGACTAGACCGTTGTCTATTCTATAGACTAGACCGTTGTCTATTCTATAGACTAGACCGTTGTCTATTCTATAGACTAGACCGTTGTCTATTCTATAGACTAGACCGTTGTCTATTCTATAGACTAGACCGTTGTCTATTCTATAGACTAGACCGTTGTCTATTCTATAGACTAGACCGTTGTCTATTCTATAGACTAGACCGTTGTCTATTCTATAGACTAGACCGTTGTCTATTCTATAGACTAGACCGTTGTCTATTCTATAGACTAGACCGTTGTCTATTCTATAGACTAGACCGTTGTCTATTCTATAGACTAGACCGTTGTCTATTCTATAGACTAGACCGTTGTCTATTCTATAGACTAGACCGTTGTCTATTCTATAGACTAGACCGTTGTCTATTCTATAGACTAGACCGTTGTCTATTCTATAGACTAGACCGTTGTCTATTCTATAGACTAGACCGTTGTCTATTCTATAGACTAGACCGTTGTCTATTCTATAGACTAGACCGTACCGTTGTCTATTCTATAGACTAGACTGTTGTCTATTCTACAGACCGTTGTCTATTCTATTCTGTCTATTCTATAGACTAGGCCGTTGTCTATTCTATAGACTAGGCCGTTGTCTATTCTATAGACTAGACCGTTGTCTATTCTAAAGACTAGACCATTGTCTATTCTATAGACTAGACCGTTGTCTATTCTATAGACTAGACCGTTGTCTATTCTATAGACTGGATCGTTGCCCGGTCTATAGACTAGACCGTTGTCTATTCTATACACTGGATCGTTGCCCCGTCTATAGACTAGACCGTTGTCTATTCTATAGACTAGACCGTTGTCTATTCTATAGACTAGACCGGTGTCTATTCTATAGACTAGACCGTTGTCTATTCTATAGACTAGACCGTTGTCTATTCTATAGACTAGACCGTTGTCTATTCTATAGACTAGACCGTTGTCTATTCTATAGACTAGACCGTTGTCTATTCTATAGACTAGACCGTTGTCTATTCTATAGACTAGACCGTTGTCTATTCTATAGACTAGACCGTTGTCTATTCTATAGACTAGACCGTTGTCTATTATTATAGACTAGACTGTTGTCTATTCTTTAGACTAGACCATTTTCTACTCTATAGACTTGGTCGTTGTCTATTCTTTAGACTAGACCGTTGTCTATTCTTTAGACTAGACCGTTGTCTATTCTATAGACTAGACCGTGGTCTTTTCTGTAGACTAGACCCTGGTCTATTCTATAGACTTGACCGTGGTCTATTCTATGGACTAGACCGTTGTCTATTCTGTAGACTAGACCGTTGTCTATTCTATAGACTAGACCGGTGTCTATTCTATAGACGAGATTGTTGTCTATTCTTTAGACTAGACCATTTTCTACTCTATAGACTTGGCCGTTGTCTGCTCTATACTCAAGATTGTTATTTTCGTTTTATTCCTAAATTATTTTATAAAACATCTGGTCTCTTCTTATTTTTGCAACAAGGCGTATGAGTGTTAAATTTTATATTGTTCGTTGCAACATGTTTGGAAGGGTTTGTTGTTGTTAACCCAATAATATAACATGCTTGTTTTTTGTTATTGAAAGTCATAAACAAATTTAAACATTCTTTATTTTAACAAAAAAATAAACTAACAACTTCTTTGTCTTTTTCAACCATAACTAACAGAAGTGGAGATTGGATACCGGTCATTTTTTTAAAGTTTAAAGAATTTTATTTTTAAATTTAAACATTAACAAGTCTTGCAATTTTCTTAATAATGTTATTTTTAAATAAAACAAAGAAAAAGGTTTTAAGTTTAAAAAACAGTTAACAATTAAAATAAATAAATTTGGTAACAAGGGGGAATTTTTCCATATTTTTTTTAACAAATTTATAATATGTATTTCTTAAAAAATTATTAAACAACAAAACGCAACAACTTTGCAATATTGTTTATTTAGTATTTATGCAGTCTAAGTATTAAACCAGTTTGAGAGAAAAAAAAATTAATAACAAATTATAGCTTAATAACATTTATGGGACTGGACCAAATCACGTTGTGGTTAGCATTTGTGGTTGACAATAAAAAAAAATATTTTTATTAATTTATTAGCAAAAAAATGTGTATAAAATAAACACTAGACTAACGAGTGGGTTGTTGTTTCTTTTTTTTTTTCAAAACCCAGTTTAATATAAACATTTGCATGTGACGTCAGTTTATTGAAGTGTATTAAAAATTTCTTTGAAATTAGAATGATTTTTACTTTTTTTATCTTTTCGCTTTTTTTATTAAATGAACAATTAAACCTTAAACTACGCCCCTTGTAAGTTTATTACTTTTTTATATTTTTTCTTTCTTTTCAAAAGCACGATTTGTAACAGGTGTTTAAAAAAGTTTAAAAAATAATCAAGAACATTTAAGATTTATTATTGTTGTACAATATATTATAGTGCAATAATTATATTTTATTAAACTTTTACTTAAAATCACGTGAAACAATTTATTTAATTAACAGTTTATTTGTAAGAAATTAATTAAAATTAAAATCATATCAACTTCCGGTTTAATATGAAATAATAACATGCCGCCATATTTGGTGAAAGTTTAAAGGATATATGTACAAACGTATGAATGTGTTTATACATGAATAGTAGTGTTCCATTTTTTGTTCATTTCAAAATGGCCTTATACATGTCATTTATAGTAAAAAAACAATGTGGCAATATTACACTCTCTGTCCTTAAATAAAAATAAGAGAAAAGTGCTGCCAAGTTTGTGTTTACATTTTACATTGTAAACAACTGCAAGTGTTAGAAACTATAACCATTATCTATACAAGACTACATTCCTAGTCTATAGATTAGGGGACAGTCTAGATCATTGTCTAGTCTAAAGACTAGATTCTAGTCTATTCTATAGACTAGATTGTGTTATAGTCTTTAGACTAGATTGTGGTCTAGTCTCTAGACTAAATTGTAGTCTAGTCTTTTGACTAGATTGTGTTATAGTCTTTAGACTAGATTGTGGTCCAGTCTCTAGAC